AGAGAGAGAGAGAGAGAGAGAGAGAGAGAGAGAGAGAGAGAGAGAGATGATAGATAGAAAAAGAAAATTAAAAAAATCTATCTTCTTTTCTCTGTCTTTTTCTTTTTCACATTTACTTTACTCTCTCTCTCTCTCTCTCTCTGTGTGTGTGTGTGTATCTTATTATCTATGCAAAATCTACCATCAAGCTACCATCTTGGCTTTTTAAACACCTCAACACTCCTGCTAAAAACCTTCATTCATTCATTTCAAGTGGGAAGAGACCCATCACCTTCCTGACAGTGCCCATGGCAGCCAATGGAAAGTGAAATGATCCAGCAAACAAATATGCCAACATTTTGAACCCAGCAGGCAGTTCCCAAAGCCTGATTAAATAAATGCCTGATTCAGTCTGCAATCCTCTTACCTATCATTACCAAAACTATTCTTCCACATATATTCTGAATTAAATTCAGCATGCAAATTTAATTACTACTTAATATGCTCCAAACCTAATTACTGTATTTAAATTTTAAAAGTCATTTCCAAATTTATTACAAGCTTGGCTCCTGTTTTTGCGTTATGTCACAAACACAAACTGTTCCAGCTCAAGAGCAAATTGATAGTATATATTAGTATTATTTATTCTGGCTTAGATGCTACGCACAGCTGGCCTTTCCCCCCCCCCCCCCAAATCTTGCTAAGAAGGAGAAGGCATATGCTCTGTTTAACTCACCTCAATGAAAATCCATTCACAACATAAGTGCAGCCATCATATCAAGTCCTCACAATAATAGAATCTGAGTTTCCTATTACTGCAAGTGTACTTATGGAGGATGAGGAGTCAACAAGTCAAGATGGCAACCTCAATCATGCAGTCAAAGCTCCCCATGTAACACCGGGAGCATTCAAGAGCCTTTTCAAGTGGCTGTCAATCATCATCATGGTAGCAAGTTGTGAAATTGGAGGGTGGCGGTTTAAGAATGCTGTAAACAACTTTAAACTGTTATGTTAAAAGCTTCATGAGGAAGAGATTATGCGTTGAGGAGAGGAAGACATTTTACTGCATATTGAAATTGGATGTTTTGACTAACAGTAAAAGGAACCTACCAGATGTGATAGGAAACCCCTCCTATTTAAAACTGACCATTCCTGCGGGTTACAGAAGCATCACCAAAAGAGAATAAAAACATAGTAATGTGGATTTTTAGAAAAATGGTGCGCTTTCTTCATGTTGGAAATAGATGGAGAAAGTAGACACAAGCACTGGGTGAGAATCAGTAAGTTTCTGGCAGGCCACTGAAGATGCTCAGAAAACTTATCTGAGCCAGTCATAGACTGAATAGTTCTTTAGATGAAGATTTCTTTATTTGATTTATTCATTAAATTTACATGCTGTTTCAGTTCCTTGATAAGATGACTCTGGGCAACTCTCATGCCATCAAAGAGTAGATGGTCTCCTTACTATTTGTAAAAACGGCTTATTTGAGTCAAGCTTGATTTTCGTTGACCATATGGCCATATCAGTGTAGGTTCCTTGGACACAAATAGAATGGCTTCCGGGGCAGGTACTAATCAACTCCAAATGTACTTAGCTGCATTCAGAACAACCAATGTTAAATTCTGTCATCTATTTTGGTTCTTGAAATACTAGACTGTTTACTATCAAGCCAAATGCTGACCATCCTTTGAGATCCTCCCTCATTATCTTTCAGCTCCAAATCTCCAATAAGTAGGCATCATGGTTTACTGGTAACCATAATGTGGTTTTTCTTGCAATAACAGGGGGAGTTTAAAATATCACTCTCTGCAAATGGTGTCCCACCTGCTTTGCATCTGTGAACAAATCTAACTTTAGATAGAAAACAATCTTAAGTATTTTTAACTTGCTAATGATCCTCTTGCAGAGTTCCTATGGGGACTCACTAACACTTTCATTTGCTTAAGTTCTGGCCTGCTGTAACCTGCCCTCTGTGATAATCATCTCAAAATGCAATTTGATGAGAAAGTGGAAAGCAGCGAACTGCTTTGCTTGCAGCAGAAAAACTATTGCAACAAACTGAGTAAACAAAACAGATGCCTGACAAACTTGTAATACAACAAGATATGGAGTGTTCTTGTTAGATCTGGAGGAGTGGGCGCAATAACGGAGACGAGGCATCGGGTAGTGAATCAACTCTTTAATAGTGAATTCAGAACAGAGCGAAGTGCTTGGGCAGCAGCAGCTCTTTTATAGAGCTAGCCGCTGTCACAACAACCAATGAAATTGAATTAACCGCTCTAAAAGCGTCCAATCAGAGACGGCCCACTGTCAGCCAATCAGATCACCCAAAGGTGGCCAATCACGATTCGCTTATTCGCGGGCCAATCCGAAGTGCAGGATTACGAGCCTGCTACTGAAGTAAAACTAGTAGGGTTATTGATGAACGAGTTTGTTTAGTTCGTAACAGTTCTGGTGGGAATGTGCTCTACCCTTCTGATTTTGAAGTAGTAGGTTATTTTTAGATATGTTGTTGTTAACAGAGTATCTTGAGATAACATAAAACAGGCATATCCAACTCCTGGGTTGTGGCCTGTTCAGAAGCAGGCCACACAAGCAGTGGGCGAGTGAGCAAAATTCCACTTGCACAAACGGTGGGCACTCGCACTCCCACCACTGCTTGTGCAAATGGAGCTGCACCAGTGGTGGGATTCACATTTTTTTTACTACCGGTTCTGTGGATGTGGCTTGGTGGGCATGGCAGGGGAAGAATACTGTAAAATCTCCAGTCAGAGGTAGTATTTGCTGGTTCTCCGAACTACTCAAAATTTCTGCTACCGGTTCTCCAGAACTGGTCAGAACCTGCTGAATTCCACCTCTGAGCTGTGCACACAAGTGTGCTCGCCCGCTGCTTATGTCGAACCATCCCCTCTCTCCCCCCGCCACCATTGCCAGTCCTCAAAAGCTAGAAAGGTTGGGGACCACTGACATAGAAGATATATACATTTTGTAAAGTTCTAGAAACATCTCACCAAGCTTCCCAGAATAGCAATAGCACTTAGACTTATACACCACTTTACTTTACAGCCCTCTCTAAGTGGTTTACAGAGTCAGCATCTTGCCCCCAACAATTTGGGTGCTCAAATTGAATAATAATAAATAAGCGTAATTTGTGAATGCTCTATACTATTTTTACTTTTTAAAAATTTCCTCCTCCATGATCACACACGCTTGCGTTTGAATGTGTACCTTCCTTCAGAGAGTAATGTAGATTAAAATTATACTAATCCACCAGCCATTAACTTCTGCACTGATTCAGTTACATACCTAAGGAACATAAATTCAGAGTATTTGAAGCTAATCCTAGCTGAATCACTTGAAGTTGTAATCTGCGCAATACACCCACACAGAGAAATATATAACATTTTTATTACAGACAAACTGCCATTAACAATCTGATTGGGATTTGTTTTATTTATCCAGGCCTGCTACAGAAACTGGAGAGGAGGAGGAAGACAAAGGTCCCTCAAGTCAGCCTGTTGCTCTGAGGAATTGTTTTCACCTGCAGAGGAATAATATCCTTGAGAAGCTCATCAAAACCTGCCCAGTTTGGCTCCAGTTTGGTATCAGTCTGGAAAAGGCTTCTGACATCCTCTGCAAGGAACTATCGGGGGTACAGTTACGCTTCTTCAAATAACCCAGGTTTCAGGGACCAGATATTCTTTCTCCAACCTCGGTCTGATCCTGAATCAGATCTTTCAGCTCATCTGCATTTGCCCGATTGCTTTGTTTACCCGCTATGGAGCTGTCACTCCCTCCAATGTTCATAGGACTGGTTGTAAGATAGCACTGTAGGCATAAATAGTACAGACCAGCCTTAATCGGCTTGTCCCTCATCAGAATTCCCAACCAACATGGTCTGTCTCATCTAGAAGCATCAAGTTGGGGAATGCAGGATAGCATGAAAGCATCAGGAATGACAGGTTGCTGTTGTTTACTAGCCTCTCCAGGTGGGCTATTCAGAGCCAGATGCAGCATATGATTAATTCATTTGATTTATTTAAAAATTCATATGCAGCTCTTTTCAAACAACTTTTTTTCCACAGGACAATGTAAAAAAACATTTTAGAAACTAATATCTGCTTCTGAATACGTGCTTAGCTCAAGAATTTCTTCTGTTTGGCACAAAAGGATTGAATTTTTCTTATTATAACAATCATATTTTGTCCGAGGAAGGGGGACTTTTAATTATTGATAACAAAGGATTGCAATTTCATGAATGAATGTGGATTGAATACAAAAGTTGAATGCAAAAGTATGTTGGGGTGCTTTGGTCATGAATGAGCATGAGAATGACTGAGGACCGAGTCTTTCTCTTCTCTCCTAACTTTAATTTCTCTGACTATTTCTCACTTTTCCTTTGCTTTATATAATGTAGTTTATCCAAAAAAGTATTGTGTAATGCATATCTAGTGAAATTTTACTGAGATCTGTTGGGAGATTTTGTTCTAACTTTTTTCTCTGCTTCAGCTTCCAGCTTACATCTTTCAGCTTACATCTTAGATTTATTTCCACAATAACTTTTTGTAGCAATTGTGTTGACCATAAAATGCTTTATAACTATTACATGATTGAAAAAACAAAAAGGCTGTTGCTCATTGATATTCGACATGTGTTGCTTGTAAATAACTCAAATTTGCAATACAAAATTACTTTTCAACTCCCATTTACCAAATCTCTCATCTTTTATTATTCCTTTGTAGTACCAGCTGCTATCTTTGAATAAAGGAAACAAATACATACTACAGCAGATTATTAACACATATACTCTTATTTGGTGCTTATCAACCTCCCCAATTCAGTTGTCACAGAATTCACAACTTCACTATCTGGAGGCCAACAGAAAGCTGGTGGACATATTTATTTTTACACCAATCCTTTCCACAGAGAGCCTTTCATCTCCTTATTCCCTCATATATCTCATCTCTACTTTGTTCTAAACCCAGCTCCATTTGCATTTGTTTTGCTGCTCAGTCCCAGTGGCTCTGTCCTTAGCAGTCATTCCTTCTAGCACACTTCTGCTTCCTTTCTTGTGTCATTCTAACTTCCAAAAAATCTTCTCCCCACTCTAGAGACAGCTCTTTAGAAAAGACAGGCCTTGATAGAGAATATGAAAGGGCTAAAAGCAGAATGGATAATCACAATGGAGGCAGCTTTGTATCTCAACCAAGTTATTTATGCCAGTCTCAAATGAACTGGATCACAGGGAATAGGAAAGTAGTATAATTTTCAGATGCTAGTAATAAAATACAAATTCTAGAAGGAACTGTAGGTAAATGGGTTACACAACGGTGAAGATTCCATATATTAATTTAATGTATTTAAAATGGGCTTTCAGTGCCCCTGAAAGAAATGTTAGGATCTTGATGAATGCCTGATTGAAGCCACTGATATATTCTGCAGTAGGGTAAAACAAAAATTAAATTGTAGGCTAGGGATTGATGGGGGGAAAAGATGCAAATCCATGGCATGGCTTTCTAAAATATAGTTTTCAGGTGCTAGAGCCTTTTGCATTTCCCATAGCACCTAGGTCTTAAGTGGTATGCCTTAAGAATCCACTACACTTCTTCAGAATTCGTGTTAAAGACAGTTGGATTCACAGAGGGGTTAATAGAAACTAGCAGGAAACTGATGAAAACTTTATTTATTTATTTATTTTATTTTGTCAAGTGATTATTAGATGTCAGGTATAAGTATAAACATGGTTATGAATACATGAAATGGATACGAATAAGAAAAAAAAGAAAAAAATAGGACAGGGACGGTAGGCATGTTGGTGTGCTTATGCACGCCCCCTACAGATCTCTTAGGAAAGGGTTGAGGTCAATAGTAGACAGTCTAAGGTTAAAGTTTTTGGGGTTTGGGGAAGAAACCACAGAGTCAGGTAGAGTATTCCAGACATTGACCACTCTGTTGCTGAAGTCATATTTCCTGCAATCAAGTTTGGTGCGATTAACCTTGAGTTTGTATCTATTGTGTGCTCTTGTATTGTTGTGGTTGAAGCTGAAGTATTCATTGACAGGTAGGACATTGCAATATATAATTTTATGCACTATACTTAGATCGGACTGAAGGCGGTGTAGTTCTAGGTTGTCTAGGTCTAAAATTTCAAGTCTGGTGGCATAAGGTATTGTGCTATGAGTAGAGGAGTGGAGAACTCTTCTTGAGAAATATTTCTGGACTTTCTCAATTGTATTAATATCAGATATGTAATGCGGGTTCCAGACTGATGAGCTATATTCAAGTATTGGTCTAGCAAGTGTTTTGTATGCTCTAGTTAGTAGAGTGATATTACCGGAGAAAAAGCTATGCAGGATTAGATTGACAACTCTTAATGCCTTTTTGGCTGTGTAGTTACAGTGGGGTCTAGCACTTATATTATTTGAGATGAGTACTCCAAGGTCCTTTACAAAGTTTGGGTCATCAACAAGGTCTTGACTATTCAGCTTGTATTTTATTTTCTGATTTTTTTTTAACCAATATGTAAGATAGAGCATTTATTTGTTGAGATTTGAAGTTGCCATTTGTTTGAACATTCTGACACATAGTCGATCTAAACTGATCGCAGCTCTTCATTTGTTTTCTTTTTCTTCTTCTTTTGTGAGTGCACCATGTCACTTCCATGTAAAAAGGGGCAGGCTTTGTGCTACCTTAGTCATTTTGATGAAGTGATAAATCCTGCAGGTGCCTCTGCCTGAAAATATGATATGGCTGAGGTTTCACAGGATGCTTTTTGAGAAGGCAAGATAGGAAGCTTTCTAAGGCTATCTCATGGTCTTGGCACTGGAGCAAACATGTGTATCCATAGACACTTAGGTTTGTCCCTTGCTTTATCTGATGGTGCTGTGCTATGCTTCAGAAATTAAATTTGGTGCAGGACCGAAGACAACATCTCTTGACAATAGCATGATAGCAATAATGAAGCATGTTTTAAGAACAATAAAATTAGGAAAGTGCTGATATATCCATTCCTTAACATGACAAAGAATCTGTAGATTCTTTGTAGATTAACCCATAGTTATAATTATATGGAAGTTTTTATTATCGTTATAATGAGTGGATAGAGTGGGAACATTGTTCTCAGGAAACTTATGAATTTGATTTCAATAAATTCAGAAATGTGTGAAAGTTTATTTCAATGAAAATACCTCAAAATATGATAATTCTGCCTTGTCACCTATTAAATAAATTCATTTCCTACTATCAATTAATGTTAGCTATTACTTACCATATACTTGAGCCTCTGTGGCGCAGTGGTTAGAGTGCAGTACTGCAAGCTACTTCTGCAGCCAGCTACCTACAATTTGGCAGTTCAAATCCCACCAGGCTCAAGGTTGATTCAGCCTTCCATTCTTCCAAGGTGGGTAAAATGAGGACCCAGATTGTTGGGGGCAATACGCTGATTCTGTAAACCGCTTAGAGAGGGCTGTAAAGCACTATAAAGCGGTATATAAGTCTAAGTGCTATTGCTATATGCTATTGCATATTATTGCATCATTAGCATTGCTAACTTTACCCTTCCCACTTTTTGATCTATATTTAGTCTATAATTAATCTATTTTTAGAGCTCTTGACATTCTATTTGACCCAAGGCAAAATGTCAGCTATAAGTCTGTTGAGGTAATTCCCCGTTAGGAGAATGAGCGTATACAGGGAGACGTAGTGAGAGTAGTGAAGAATAATACACAAACAGCACACACATACACTGTACAGTAAATGTAGGTTTTTACTTCCAATAAATGTTTTAGCAAAGTTCAAGATAAGCAGTCCAAGTCATTCACAGGTAAAGCAGTCAGTTTTCAGTCCAGGTATAATCCAATAACAAAGTCCAGCATCAAAAATAGTTCAGTAACAGACTCACATCAAATCCAAGAATAACAGTCAATTAGGAGGAAAGTCAATACTCTCCAACAGAAGGAAACAGAGACTCACTCACACTCTCTTCTGAGACTCCAAACAACCCAGGTTTCTGGCTCCATCTTATGGCTGTTTGAGGAACCACACCCAATTACAGATTTAGTATTCTCTTAAAGACATAGTATTAAAATGTCTATTCTAGTTTATATATTTCCAACCCAAATAACTGTTAGGTGACTTACATTCCTAACAAAGTCTTCTCATCCCACCTTAAGCATGAAAGCTGTCTGGGTGACTATGGGCCAGTTACTCTTTCTCAGTCCAATCCACAATCAGAGGGTTATTGTTGTTATGGGAAAAATAGGAAGAGGAAGAGGTATTAGGTATACTTGCCACTTTGAGTCATTTATAAAAATAATAAATGTGGGTAACAAAGAAATAATATATGTGTGAAACAAATAAATAAGGACTTCGTTTTCTATTTTAAGGACAGGCTATAATTTGTCATAATTAGAGCTCAGGCTCTAATTAGATGCTTACAGAAAGGGTCAAAATAGTTATTATCTATTACTTAGCAAACCTCAGAGGTAGTATTCAGCAGGTTCTGTACAGTTCTGGAGAACTGGTAGCGGAAATGTTGAGTAGTTCGGAGAACCGGCAAATACCACCTCTGACTGGAGATTTTACAGTATCCTTCACCTGCCACATTGACCAAGCCACGCCCACAGAACCGGTAGTAAAAAAAATTTGAATCCT